TCGACTAACTAGGTTTATAACTGGGTCGCTTTTCAATGGCTGCAGACGACAAACCAAAGACGCGGATGAAACCCCGGTAAGAGAGAACCAGAACAGCCTAGTGCTGATCTATTCTATCAATTTTAATATAATCTCTTCTTAGTTCGCTACAAGCTTCTTTGTTGGAGGAGATAATCCACACATTGTTCAGACTCTTGTGCAAGCCCACAACCTTCACATCAGCCTACCACCAGCGGTCATGACTTCATTTTCCACTATTTCAGCACGCAATGTATCGACAAGCTCAGTGCCAGCTCAAGAGCACGTAGCTGAGCCTGCAAGTTCCAAATACCTGTCGAGATTATGGTTGAAAATTCTAACGATCAGCTCATCTAGCCATCATATCCTGCTACTTCAAGATCCTTTATTCCGTACCGAGCCCGGGCGTCGTATACGCCTCGTGAACCTGACGAACTGTTGCTCAACTTGGGAGATCTGGTATTTGTTACAGAGTCGTTCAGCGATGGTATGTGTCAGTTCAACGTTAAATAGGTGCTCATAATATTGAAAATCGAGTTATTTGTCAGGTTGGGTTCATGGGTACTCGCAAGCCAGCCGTCAATCTGGAATGGTCCCGTTGTTAGTCTTGGAGGAACTAGTCAACCAACCAATGATCGATGCTCAGTTAAAGGAGGTTTCGATGATTACTCCTGCTTCAGCCCTGGGAGATCTGTCTTCAATTCAGGACGACTTGTCTGACTTGGAGGCATGGTTGAATCCACCTGACTTTAGATTGACAATGTTTAGGCTCAAGGACAAGAGACTTGAAACAACTAGAGGCTGGCTTTTGACAGAACTTGTAAGTTGGGTGGAGAATTCAGATCAATCTCGAGTCTACTGGCTGTCTGGTGTAGCAGGTGTAGGCAAATCCGTTGTAGCTGGCTGCTTTGCTGACGAACTGCAACGTCGAAATCAGTTGGCTGCTCACTTCTTTTGCAAACACGATGAGCTGTCTCGTAATGACCCTTTCCGAATAATTGCTACACTCGCCTTCCAATTGGCGGTCTTTGATTCTAATATTAGGAAGGCATTACTGGACTTGCGTCAAGCCGAACCCAACTTTATAATCAATACGCCATCAATTGGTATGCAATTTGAGGGGCTTATAGTGAAACCTTCGTCCGAGTATCGTGGTAGTAGAGCCGTCATCTTGCTGGATGCGCTGGACGAATGTGCTGTGGAAGCCAGCAAGAGCAGAGAGGAGTTCTTACAAACTCTTACCAAACAGCTGAAAGCACTTCCCAAGAGCATCCTCCTATTTATTACTAGTCGTCCTTTGCAAGACCTTAGGAAACAGCTGTCACCATATACACCACGAATGATGACTTTGGGAGATTTGGACAATCTGAACGATATAAAACTATATGCAATATCTCGAATGAACCGTCTACGGCCTATCTTGGATTCGGACGAAACAGTAGATGGTCTCGCAGACAGGCTCAGTGTAATGGCTCACGGTCTATTCGTATGGCTGTACCTGGCCTGCGATGCTTTGGATAATTCGGAGGATCCAACAGAAACCATTACCGAGTTAGAAACAGGCACTCTAGGAAACGACGAAGATCGCATGGATAGTATTTATACTAGAGCACTTACGTCTAGCTTCAAAGGAGCATCAGAATCAGCAGTACGTCTATATAGAGACCTTGTAGGAGCCATCACGACTCTGCGACTCCCTATGTCGATTGAGGACCTGTCTTCTCTTTTAGTGATACCACCCAGCCGTGTCAATGTGAACCTTACTCGAGTGGAATCGTTGCTATCCATGTCGAGATCATCAGTGCAGCTTATGCACAAGTCAGTAGCCGACTTTATCACTTCTCCAGACCGCTGTGTTGGTGATGCCCTGCCATTCTATATTGACAGACAGATTTCAGAATCGTATATTGCCAGGATGTGTCTCTTTGCATTGCCAGTGAATCTGAAAATGGAAAGCATTCAAGTGCAGATCGAGCTTCTTAGAGGAATTGTATCATCTGGTACTCCAACTCACGTTGGCTACGCCTTCAGTCATTGGGGTGACCATCTGAATACGGTCATAGAGGCAGATAAAGAGTTAATAGAGACTCTTACTTTAGCACTACAAAGCTATGGTCGAGCCATGCTGATAGTAGCGGTGCTTAAAAACTTGCCACTTGCTCTCAGACACATATTGCAAGTTGGTGGAGGGCCGAAATTACTGAAGGCTGCTGAAGAAATCAGTTTTTTCAAATCACCAATTCTCTTTGAGGCCGCCAGTTCCGATTATCCAAACGTTTGTGAAGCCTTGCTGGAATATGGGGGTGCGGACGTTAACTGTCTCAGCAATGATGGTCTGTCGCAAACTCCGCTCTACGTTTGTGTGTTTGCGAACTCGACGATAGATATGATTAAGGTGCTCCTACGCTATGGAGCCGATATGGATTTGAGAGGTGCTAATGGATTCAAGCCCGAAACTAATGCATCAGGTCGGATTGTGAACGAGATGATACGTGAGCGTTTCCGTCGCAAAGTAAAGAAAGACGAATCTCACATGGTGAGTCCCTTTGGGGCCGTTCATAACTTGGGGTTAACAAACTTCATTTAGGATGAAGTTATGAGTGCTGCACGACTGGCGGATTTGTCACGGGTACAGTACCTGCTAGATTCAAAACCAACCATTAAAATCAACCACCAATACGCTGAATGTAGCAACAAGACTTTGCTGATTGTTGCGTGCCAGTATGGATCCGTTGATGTAGTCACTGTCTTGTTGAGAATGGGGGCAAATCCAAATATAGTAGACAACCAACGACAAAGCCCGCTACACCACGCGTGCCAGTTCGGATCCCTGGTCATTGTCAAATCATTAGTAGGAGCTGGGGCTAAATTAGATGCAGAGGGTCAAGACTACAGGTTCGCTTACTTTAGAAACGATGCACTCCGACCCATCGATTTTGCCTCTGAGAGGGGGCACATAGATATAGTTAGGTGGTTGCTGGACACAGGAGTCAGTCCCTCTGCCCTCAAGAATGAGGATATTCATCCTCTCTTGTATGCAGCTATGGGAGGCTCCATAGAGGTAGCTCAATTGCTTCTAGAGAAAGGAGCCGACATCAACTACCAAAGTAGATACTTTGGCACCGCTATATTTGCTGCCGCATCCTTCGGAGTCTTGAATATGGTCCAATATTTAATGGATGTCGGAGCAGATACTGACCTTGGCTGGGACGCACCAGACTTGCAAATCGATATTCTCGTCTCTCCCCTCATGTCGCCCCTAATTTCAGCCGGCTCACGAGGCTATAATGATATATTCGCTCTGCTACTCCCTAGATCGCCTCCAGGTGATAAGATCGTTCACCAGCAAGTCATGTATGGAGGAACCAAAATCACTGCAGAGTTCACCTCACTTATACTCGCAGCTATATGGAATGAGCCAGGAATGATACCACTAATGTTAGCTCATGGAGCGAAAGTTGACCGTCCGACGTTCTTGCCTTATTTTCCGTTTTTGGGAGGGGCAACACCTTTAGTATTTGCAGTACTTTATGGAAGAATTAACATTACCAGGTTGTTAATAGAGGCTGGTGCTAATCGTGAAGTGAGAGTAACCAATGGAAGATCATGCATACATATCGCAGCCTTTAGTCCTATTATCGGAGACCGTGGAAAGTCAGATATGGTACGCCTTTTACGGTTTTATGACGCTGATCTGAATGATGTCGATCATGACGGGAATTGCCCTCTACATGTCGCAATCAGTATGAAGTCTACGCAGACAGTGTATACCTTGCTGGAACTAGGGGCTCGATTGAATATCGTAAATAGTTTAGGCAACAGCTGTATGCATGAAGCTGTTAGTCAACGAGCGGCTGGAATAGTCAAGATCTTGATGGAGAAAGGGGCTGATAAGGGTATAGAGAACAAGGAAGGCATGACGCCTTTAGATATTGCTGTGAAGCAGGGATATCATGAACTGATAAAGCTGCTTAAGTGAGGGAATCCACTGGAGTTGAAGTCTCGTAATGCATTGAATAGTCATTTTGTCATATACCGCAACGTGTTACTCTTGTTGGTGGTTGTCTAGACTTTAATCAGCACACTAGACCTTGTCGAGTTTTGAATGCTTGTAAGAAAGAAGACTCGTGGAATTGTCTTACTATGACTAAAATTTAAGTGGTGCAATTGATGGGGCTATTATATAGTATCGTACGCAGTAGAGCATTCTTAAAAATGGTCTCATGCAACTGAAAGGGAGCAAATAGAACAACATTTAAAGAATATAACATTTAACCACTCCACAAACTTCTACGAAACATTGATGTCTAATGCAGTTCTTTTATACTCTACAGAAAGCATTTTAACGCCTTTACAAGATGCAAAATGTAATGACAAACCAAACACAACAAAAAAATCCGGCCCAATGCACCATAAAACGCCGACCTTTTTACGTCCCCATTATATCAACCCCACCATCGCGATCCACATCCCCACTCTCATCATAATACTCCCTCTCATCAAACTCGACCACCTCTCTCGCCCTCCTCGACGAATTAGCGTCAGCGACCTGCTCCATAGTAGCACGTCCACTTAACCCATCTACACGCACATCAGGTCTCGAGTCTTCAATCTGATCCGGCACTCGATCCCAATCGTTATATTCCTGGAAACCTGTTAGACCCGGTGGTATTTCCTGCATTTGCACACTCGGTGCCCCGCCGACGTACTTCAGGTACTGGGCTATTTGATAGCGGACGTTGTCGAGGTACTGCCGTGTATTGTTATTGTTTGCGTGGTTGTCGACTATAGGCGGGTGGAGCTTGTAGTCTGGTGCATAGTGCGAGTAATAGTCGGTAGTCTTTGGTATTTCATTGGGGAGTTCCGTGTCAGTCAGAATACCGGTCTCGTACGTCCAGCATCTAGATACGTTCCGTATAGTATATCCACCACCACCTAATACCATCATGGGCACCTTGAACCCCTTCATGAATTTAACACAGTTGCCATGCCCTTTGATACTCAGATTAAAACAGCCTAGACGATCAGATGCGAGCGAGTCGGCGCCACATTGTAGCACTATTGCGGATGGGCGGTATGTGTCCATGACGTTCTGCATTACGTGCTTGAAGACGTAAAAGTAGGCATCGTCGTCAATGTGTTCTTGGAGGGGCACGTTTATGGAATAGTTTTTGCCTGCTTTTGAACCAATTTCGTCTAGAGATCCTGTTCCTGGGAAAAAGAGGCCATCGTAGCGGTGCAGGGATACGGTCATGACTCGGTCTGTTTGGTAGAAGGCTTCTTGTACACCATCACCGTGATGTACATCGATGTCTACATATAATACTCTCGGATAAAACCTGATTTGATGAATAAGTATTAGACCATGAGTTTCATTGTTGCGTTTGTGGTCTCCCTCGGGAGCAAGAAAAACATATATGGTTGGGTTGTCAAATACATTGAAGTCCTTAATCACATCCCACGGTACCGTACCTCAACAACTCTAATATAGCAAGCACGATATCATTTATATAACAGAATCCAGAAGCCTCAAACTTTTTAGCATGATGCAGCCCACCCGACCAATTTATGGCAATGTCTGTCTTTTCAGTGACGAGTCTTCGAGCAGCAGCTATGGATCCTCCTGAATACAGACGACAGAAATCATACATTCCATCAAATACGGGACAGTCTTCCACACCGACATTGAATCTAGTCAGGAACTTCTGAAAGTTGTTTACATTGTCTGGGGTGACTCTATATGTAGGAAATGGGGTTTGTGTGAGATGGAGGGATGACATGTAGACGTACGCGTTAAATTACGCGTAATTCGATATAAATCAACACCCAGTACCAATACATTGACACCAAACATCACTCTACTCTTACCTTTTCAAGAATTCGACATAATCTTCGGCATGAAACTCTGTAATCTCGACATCCTCTGCCTTTCTGGGTTTAAACACGTCCATTTTTCTTGTGAGGCCATAAGCGAGAATGAGATTATGTGTGAGAGCGAGTCGCGGTGGTTTCATTGGATGTCCTTCTCCATAATGGTATTCGCCGACGCCAGGCGAGTAGTAGTAGGATATGCGATCTTTTGAATGGGAAGCCATTGTGAGTGAGGACGTGGCGGCACTCGTGCTTGTGGTGTCTGCTGGTGGGAACTGCATCATCGTGGTCTTTGTTGATGTGTTGATTTTGGGATGTGTTTGAGGCGAGTGCGTGAGTGTCTATGTGGAATGGATGAGTTAATAACGTGTCGTTGAATGGCAGAGTGGTATTGCTGGAGCTACATACCTAGTATCTTTACTCATTCAATACATCGCGACATGTTTTTTGGGAAATGGGAAGCGAGCAATATTTTGGCGTTTTGAGTAAGGAGCATGATAGTAGCAAATGCAACTACTATAGAATTGTCAGTATTTGTACACGCCCAAGCTCTAATAACACGTCCAATTTCCTTGCCAAATTCTAGCAGTGCCGTCAATCATCGAGAACATACGAATATAACATAGCGCCGTCAAAACGGACTAGGACGAAATAATCACAGGCTTGCTGACTTGTATTGATATCTTATTACAGATCAAGTAAGTCCTATTTACTAATCGCTGCTTGTTCTATACACCAAATACATTCCGGACAACCTTGTCAATCGTCTCTCGACTAACTGGCGTCTTGCGATCTACTAGTGATGAATTATCATGACAGTGGTGTCCACGGCTTCAACGACGACGACGCTGAATACAGAGACCATGCTCCAACCTCACCAAGAAATCAGTCATCTTTTGCAAACCAACCTCGTCCTTTATCAGAGTACTCGGGTGCTACTGCTACTGGCACATTCTCAAAATCAAACACTTCCTCCTCCTCATCGCTACACCGCTCTCGATCTCTCGAATCCACGACCCAAGTGTTGCCGTCTAACGCAATCCCCGTGCCAGTCAAGGATGCAGTAGGAGACGGCGCTAAAGAACCGTGCTGTAATATAGATCGAGCATTACGTGCTATGCCATTCTCGGCCTTTTGTCCAAATATAACTACAGGTGCTACTACAAACACTAATGGGGATGGAAGGTCATCGTTAAGTGGTTCACGACCATCAACATCACAACAAAACTGGTCGGCAGCTTCATTGAACGCTGCTGCCAAACGACCACCTATAATCAGAGCATCTGGTATACCACCCACAGCACCTCCCGTAATCCAAATAGCAGACGCGAAAAAGGTATCCGAATTCGGATCCTCATACATATCCTATGTAATCCAAACAGACTTGACTGAACCATACGTATTCAACCTCGAAACCCAACACCGATATTCAGATTTCGAAGGACTTCGTAAACTGTTGCAAAAGGTGTATCCTACCATCGTCGTGCCACCTATACCTGAAAAGCACTCTGTTGCTGCATACGCTACTAAACCTGGCAAAGCTAAGGAAGATCCCAGTATAATAGAAAAGAGGAAGCGGCTGTTGCAGTCCTTCTTGAATCGGGTAGCTGCTCATCCTATATTGGGAAAGGAACACGTCTTTCATCAATTCTTGCAGCCGAATGTCACGTGGATTGATAATTTGGCGTCGTCGGGTATGGCTCATCATTTGAGAAAGAAGGATTCGACTGGTTCGCTTATTGGAGAACGGGCTTCACTGCGTCAACCAGGTACTGTAAATGTTGGGATGGCTTTTTTTGCTTCGCTGGCAAGTCAGCGCGGTGGAGGTAGTGCGGGCTGTGGTCGAGATTAGATGGAAAACGTCATCACCAATTGATTTCACTATGACGCAAGAAGCGGGTGGTGCTGGTGATCTTGGACACGGTCCATTTATGACGTCTGTGGTTATTTTTTGCACTTCGAATGACATAAGCCTCCTACTGGCTTTTCATGCTTCTTCCTGAAAATCACTTCATTAAAGACTCCTTTCTCTCTTATTAGATGCTGGTTATGCTGCATCAGAAGACTTTACTTCGAGGTTTGCAGCACATATCTCACACACACTTAAAGTGCATAAACGGATTGTAAAGCACTATCAAGAAATGTCATCCACATATAGTGAATTAGGATCAGTATACAATGGATGGTCGCTATCCGAAACCCAACTATCAGAAGCCATTGAAAAAGTTGGACAAGCTGTAGACTCTACCGTATCAGCCACCACGGCACTAGCAGGAACACTCGAAGAGCGCTTCTCAGAGCCACTGGGAGAGTATTCCCAATTCAGCAAAACCATAGAAAAGGTCTTGTTGAATCGTCATCGACGGCATGCGGCATTTGAGCACTTGACGGATTCTCTACAATCCAAGCATCAGAATTTAGTTACTCTTGAACGGTCTGAACAGGAAGCTCAACGTTTAACAGCCGCTATTGGTGCAGAAGGTGGATCATCAGCTGCTAGTATATCAAACACATCTCAACATACCAACAGTAGCAACAACAATAATAGTAATAATAACAATAACACTTCGTCATCATCAGGTACAACCCGCACATCCTCATCAGGACCACGAGCACCAGGTCTCATGGCAGCAATCAACTCGATAATCGACAATGACCCGGAACTAACACGACGCAACAATATATCAAAGACCAAAGACAAGATCATTTCCCTTGAAGACCAGTTACAATCCGCTTTGACTGACTTAAAGGATGCTAATGTGATGGTGCAAAAGGATTTGGACTTGTTTCAGGAACGCAAGATTGCTGATTTGAGGAATATGATGTTGGCGTATGCGCTTTCCCAACGAGAGTATCATCGTAGAGGGGTCAGTGCGTGGGAGGAGGCCAAGAGTGAGGTTGAGAAGGTGTCTGCGTCGTGATATATTGGGGTAGTAATTTGAGGATTATTACAATAGGGGTAACTAGCAAGCATTTTTTTTGGTGCTTGTGGGCATTTCAGAGGATGTGAAGTCTCACATTATCTGTTTTCGACTTTGCTAGGAATGGACATAATGTGTGAAAATGAGTGGTGGTGGTAGTCATTTGCCTGAAGGGCATTTTATACTTGTTTGAACGAATCGGAAGATGCTTTTTATTGTATATATTCTTACTTGGTTTTTGGAAGAGTAAAGACACAGTACTCGCTGCTTTGAATAAATACAACATATTGGAAACTACATTTGATGTGACATTCAGAAGGTCAACGACAGTATTGTTGATTTACTCACAAATTATATTCATCAGTCCACAAACAACAATATTAAAGAAGGGAACTGCCCTATTATATACAAACACTACTACAACTCACTTCCCAAAAATTACACTCCAAAAATTACACTAGACTCCTTCTTTTGCACTACTCCTCATAATGTCGATACGCCACAAACTCATCCTGTGACCGTATCCTCCATTGTTCACCACTAGTAACAACACTCTCACTCCCAGCACCAGTACCAGCATCCATAATACTATTCTCCGCCACCATATCCACCACATCTGCCGACGCGCTCCCCATCATACCATTAGTGCTACTATTACTACCACTATTATTATTACTGTTTTCGTTGTGGTTATCAACCACGCTACCCCACAAATACCTAAACTGTGCATCTTCCGCCTCATACCGTGACTGCGTGGCATTCATAGCCAGTGTTGGACTCACCACGCTATACCCATTATAGCCGTTATTGATGTTGTTGCGCAATAAAGCCTGCTGCATCAAGATATAGTTTTGCTGCTGCTGCTCGGCCCATGGCGTATGGTCTAGTCCGTCGTCGTCGAGGTCCATGGATGTTGGGGATAGTGAGGATGTTGGGGTTGTGGATGATGTTGAGGATGTGCTGTCATAGTATATGTGTTGGTGGTGGGGAGAGTTGAGGGTGGATGTAGGAGCTGTTGTTGTGGGTGAGTCGTACATGGGTGCGTCGAGTGGGACGGGTGAGAATGGTGTGGTGGATGGTGACGTTGGGGTGTGGATTGAGCGTTTTTTCTAGGTTGGAAGACATGCAAGTGAGTTTAGAGAATGCGATTCAAGTAAAGCGAGTCCTTGTTCTTGGATCACCACAAAACTCAACATCGTCACTTAAGTGACTTAGTGTAAGCACAAACGTTACTAAGACAAGAACATACCGACATCTCGACATGCATCTCCTCGTGCTCGTCATCTTCGTCGTCATATCGTCCCTTCCGTTTCAGTTTGCTTTCAATGCGCATCATTCCATTCGCTTGAGTGTGGGTGGTGTTGCCCATGTCGAATGGAGCGATTAGTTTATCGTTTGTTCTCTAAAGGGCGAAGAGGCTGTTAGATCTAGTGGGTAACAGTACGTGTAATGGGGGTTGTAGATACCCAAGAGACGTCAATTGATATGTGGGGCAGCATTGTTCGCTTTGACTGGAACTTTGCTTGTCCACGTTCAAGATGATGGGGGAGGATGGTCAGAGAAGAGGGAACAAGACTGCTTCTGAGTTATGTTGCAATCTGAACGAGTGGATCTTCCGCTATAGGGGTGATGTCAAAACTTGTTTCAAATTTGTTGTGATTGGGAGTTGAGATTGTTTTTCGTGATATAAAGAATGTGATTTATGAGCGAAGAATAGCAGATTTATACCCTCAAAGGCAATCTAAACAGGATCAATTACAAGCTCCAAAGCGGATCACCTTCACGATGACGCGCTAGACGTGACATCTCAACAGCTGCGGCAGCGACCTCACGTTGTAGCCCATAGCATCAAACGCAAATGGAAGGAAGGCAACCTCAGGACCAGCGACTGATCAACGACCTGTACTACCACTTCGAATTCCTCCTACATCACGGCAAGCACCGCATTTCTTCCAGACCAATGGCCCAACAACTCTATTTGATCTATAACGAAAACTCAATTCCAGCAGTGAGTTCTCCGGCCGTGCTTTCACTAGCGGGCGGAGACTTCTATGGGGTTGCGCTACCAATCAGCCTTTGCTTGGAGAATATTCCTAGATCGACATTAAAACTCCCGAAAATCAGGCAACCCCTCGAACATACCATCTATAGATCAAGTGGTGGAGAACCTGCAGGCGAATGAAGGAGCAAGCGGCATCTGCCCCCCACAACGGCGGGAGTGCTGAAACTGTCGTCTTGGATCAAGAACTGGTCCATACGTCTCTTTTACTACGTGTGAAGCAGATCGTGTTTTCCGTTTGCTTTTTTGCTGTAAGTGGAGCATTCATTTCCGCATGCGGAGGTGTCTTGAGTCACGTTTTGGATACCCAACGTGCTAATAAAGCTCGCTTCAATTTCTTGTAGGTTTATGGCAATGGTGTGTAGTGAATCCGTTTTATCCGATGACTCGGAGTTCGAACTAAGAATCCTCACATCGTTTTCGCTACTTTAGATGGAGTTGCCATCATTGGAGTCTTGGGTCTTCTCATTGAAGACATTCAATTATTGTCATTCTTTCTCACAGCAGCAATATCTGAGGTAGGTTGGGGATCATGATGTCGTTTTATGAGACTATACATTCTGAAATTTGTTTATATCATGCCAGATCTATGTCATTCCAAGTCTCGTAACAAACATCATGCAAGTCAATTACCGAACGATGAATGGATCTAGCTTCCAAGTAGTTTTTGGTGTTGCTGTTGGTATCATTGTTTTCATGATGATGAATGTGGCTATAGTTACCTGGGGTTTCATAGTAAGAAGTGTCGGCTGCTAAACCGTGTTTAAGCCTATATCTAATGTATCTATTCCTTGTTTTGTAGCGTGGACAACACAAGTATATATGGCCCATCCGTGCTTTACGAATCTGTGCAGCCTACATCCCAACAACCTTGTTCATGACTCTTGTTGATATTCTAATTGTGCCCCTGGTATGTGGTGATACGTGGTCTCCCACAGCAGATGTTGGAGCACCATCTGACTCAATGGCTGCCTTGGCTTGCAACTCAACTACACGAGTCGCATTAATGGCAGTGTCAGTCATCGTCCTGATAATTTTCGTTCCATTCTGTTGGATTACCAATGTCGTGTACCTGGACATAAATCCGATACACAAGACTCCACTAGCCAAAAGTCATGGGCGACTGGATTTGGTGTACTCGATTAGCAAAGTTGTGGTGCTTTTGGTGTGGAATCTGGCTCCTCGCAGCTATTGTAAGTACAAATAACTATCACAAAACGCAGTTGTCATAGACTCATCGTTACCTTTTATAGACGTCCTCAAAGTTGGGCTTGCTATGCTTTTGCCAGGAATTGTTTGCCTTGGCACACTGTATTTCATGCCCTTTTACAACAAAACCTTGAACAATCTTCGTGTTGCTGTGACATTTTTGTCATTTGTGGGTGGCTTGGCATCGTTTATCAGTACCCTCATATACCACTACACTGGTGAAACGCAACTTTCCATATACGTCTTTATCTTCATATTGAGCTCTCTGCCTGTTTCCTTCGTTGTTGGATACTTTGTCTGTGGTAAGTTGAATCGGGATGTTGTTTGTGAGACTGTGAGTTTCTCACAATCTTCTTTTGTGCCTTGCACAGGTTTCTATTACAAGAAGATTCAATACAATGTTAGAACCAAGCTAGCTCTTATGGCTCAGGTATGCCTTGTTTGTCAGGCGACAAAAGGCGAGAGGCTGCTCTAACAATTCTTTGTATTAGACTGGCGCTCACGTAACCGATCAAAATGATCTTGTCTTCCGATTCAGTGTTAATGGTAAATCAGTATTTCATTTTCAACAAACCTCGTTGTCCACGTTTGTTCGCCATGCTTGACATCCATTACTATATTCTAGTCGAACACGCCGCCCGATTTGCTACAGCCCACATGAGCGAAAGAAAGCGTCAACCAGACATGTCGAAAATGGAAGAACTTTTACTCATATTTAGAAGGTATAATTTGTCTTTTCGGGTCAGTTTTTTTTGTTCCTAATCATGATGAAATGTACCTTAGAGGGTTACTCGAGTTCCCAGATGATCCTCTAGTCAAAGCTACTCAAGCTAGCTACATGTACCACCTGTCTGTCGACGGAATGGGTCAAGCCGATCGAATCCGTAAACTGGAAGGCTCCAATCCACCATTCGATGTCATGTTCCAAATCCACTTTTTAAAACAAATATCGTCAACTGTTCACGAAACTGACTTTTTGGGATCTTCGGTGCAATTGGATTTGGCTGGATTTGCTGAATTTAGAAAGTTGCACTATGAAGCTAAATTCAATCATCAGTTATCATTGCAATGGTCGAAGGAATTGTATCTTTCTGTCAGACGTCCAGGGCACTTGCTTGACGAAGTTGAATTTATTGCGTCAAACCTTCACAAAACCTCACTTGCTGCCAACTCTGCATATCTTCAACTTGTTACCAGATTTCCAAGGTAAATCTCCGATCATTTTAGCCTTCAACGTGTCGAGTATACCTCATCCATTCTAAACCGACTCTTTTGATCTAGATCTCAAGACCTTCTTCGACGATATGCCAAATTCTTGTTTGATGTGACTCACGAAACCCACAAAGCCTCTACTCTTATTGCCCGCGCAGATGCTCTTGATGCTGAACTCTTAGCCATTCAGCACGAACAATACTCGGGCCAACACCAAAGCAATGGTCGTCGAGGAAGTGGCAGTAGAAGAGGAAGCACTGCTGTACCAGACCTCGAGTTCTTACCTCCTCAAGACCTAGAAACTGCCGAAGAAGACGCAGAAGTGGAGGAAGGTGATGATGATGCTGCTTCTACAGGATCAGGTGCATCCAATGAACGAATGACGTCTCCAGTGACGATATCCATTGGCAAGAGCGCACTCCGTAATAATCAGAATAATAAAGAGCAGCAACCACAGCAAACCCGTAAAGCTGCTTCATCATTGGGCAGTGGGTCCTCTGAAGCTAAAGCATATCAGCAAACACAAGCACTTCGAACTGCTATACTTTCAAGGAATATTCCTGATATGACTGTGATTGTTATATCAGCTACACTCATTGGGCTCATTGCTGTGGCCGTGCTCGTGACCAACTTTATGATAGTGAATAATTTGCTAGGGAAAAGTAAGCTCGATTTTATTTGATTTCAATATCTGGAGCTTGTTTCAGTTGTCATTTAATTCATCACTTGACTCTGACCTCTCAAAATTGTTTTTTTAGCTGCATCTGCATTGACTACTCTGAGCGCGTAAGTACTCTTTCAGAAAACGTGAAGAAGTCATCATCATTGATTTCTCACCATGTTTTGTTTTTCGTAGTTACCATGTTCGTGAAGACAAGGTATATCAGATACTCAGTTCACGATTCGATTTTTCTGGCAGACTTCTAACATGACCATCTCTTTCTTCCAGACTGCCCTTCTGTTCCGAAGAGTCCGACAACTTCAAGACGCTCATGCAGCTGGAGACAGAGCAACGTTCACTCTGCTTCAATCCAAGTTAGCTAATGACTCACTAGCGCTGCAGCTTGCTGGTATTACCACATTCACTGAACGTGACCAAAATGATGGTGAGCTAACAAAACACCAGCATATTTAAAGACCCTTTAACATAGCGATATCGTTAGCGGCTACCAACTCTTTCTACACTGTTCCTTCCATTTCCGTCAATGAGTCTTACTATCCACAGACCTCGTAAGTCTGGGTCTTGATGGGTCTTGATAAGAAAAGTTTGATTCTCCTTTACTTATCGTCGTATTTATTAGATCTTCGGTGGTGGTACAACGAACACTTTATGAAGTTGTCAAGTGAGTTTTTGATACTTTATAGTTCCTGATTTGAGTGTAGCAGCTAAGCATACAACACTTGTAAAAGCAACTTTGCAAACTCTGGTCTGGATTTAGCTACAATACCTTTCGATGATGCTCGTTGGGCCACAATTGGACAGTAAGTTTGTTGTATTCACTCAGCCCATTATGGTTTACCAACATACTTTGAAAATAGGGTCAACTCTTTCCGATTTATTGCTGGTAAGTTTGAGGGAGAGGCGTCAAATTGAGTAGAAATACCTAAAACCCGTAACTTTTCCAGATAACTTCTTTTGGATTCAAAAGACAGCTTATGACTACTCTATGAATGGTGAGATGCGTCAGAATATTGGTATATAGAACTTGGATAATCGTTCCTGACTCGACACTCTGTTTTCATAGACCTCTTCTTTGCTAATTATGGAGCCAACCGACAGACGGCCGTTACGATCATTGTTGGGTTGACTGTTACCTTGGTTTCGTGTGTCTCGCTCGCCATGGTGGTCTTGGATCGTCGTGTGATTCTCTTTCGACGTAAACAACGAACGACATTGGGTGTCTTTTCAAAGTACGCCGATAGAATTATGTATCAACATGTATTATCGACGATATTGACATTGTCTCCTTTGTGTATAGGGTTCCAAAGTCAGTGCTCAACGAATTTATCAAGGTGAGAAGACGCTCTTCAATTAAGCCGGCAGCATCAAGTCAATTTGTCAGTGTAAAGCCGGTCAGATCAAAATTAAGCAAATTTGAACTCAAAATCAATTGTCCCATAGAGTATGGAAGACGATGAAGCCGATGACTTTGACGAAGACGATGAGATTGCACAGAAGGCTCGCTCCCATGTAGCCTCACGCCGTGGTGGTTCATCATCTCGTGACTACCGAGCTCGTTTCGAATACCTCATATACTTTATTGTTATTATTGGCTTGGGTGTGATATTTGCAACCTTGAATGTGAGTCCGTAGGGACTGTGTGTAATCGTTTTGTTATCTAACGCTTCACATTTCGTCACATAGGTAGCTAGTGTGTATATCATTGGACAATACTTTGCCATTCTGGATCAATTTGGAGACCAGGCCACCTTTTCAACCAGAGCTGTTTCGTTGGTTTCAGAGCTTAGGCGACAAGATTGGCAGACTTGGGGTAACGAGGCAAATATCCGAGACTGTCTCGTGCTTGACTCGGGCCCAGATAATCTTGGAGCGATTTGGGGCAACATTTTATACGGCGATACGACACGATACCCTCCGTCTCCCTCGTATGAGCATTACCCTGCGGTTAGTGACTTTGATTTTTTTAAGAAAAGAGGGCGAAATTATAGATCAACACTCTAACCTTTGTACTTTGCTCTACTAGGATTTGACGTATGCCTTCACCAAACAAACTTGTCTACCTGATGATCAAACTCTGTGCTCCAGTAGTCGAGTATTCAACAGTTCGATACCGGGCTATACCTCAGACTTGGTGTCTGAGGGTTTACTTGTTCTGCAAGAGAGGTTCATTTCAATCATAAATGGATTAGTGTACTCTGCTTCCGCTGGGCCCTTCGTTCCAGACAATGGTACCGTTGCCTTACTGGATACCCTTCTTGAACCGGATCAGCTACAAGGATTTGTTCGACTGAAGAATATGGCGACTGCCGAAGCAGCTTCTGTCTTTGACTCGTCGTCGTTGAGAAATTCAGTCATTTTCGCTGCTCAGTTGATTGTTATTACCCTGGGTCAGATCTTGGTGTTCTACCGAATGATTGTCAAGTTACGAGCTGTAAGTTTGTCGACATTTGTGTGGGGTTTACTGGGCACTGCTTACAAAGCTCTCGATATTAACCAAATTCGTTTCCTTCAACAGGGTGAAGAATGCAACGCAGATCTCATCTGTAGAATGCCACAATCCGTCCGCCAACTACCCTCCATTCAAGAAGCCTTGTTTGGGAAAGTGCAGCTCCTACCTTCCATTTCCAAGAACGATATCACCAACACCTCCAGAATCGAGCGCACCAACGAAATGGCTCCTGATATACAAAGAACAAGTTTCGCACCGTTGCAAACAGTAATTAATTCCGTGGGACGAAAACTGTTTGCTGGAGCTCTAGACTCGCATGATGTCTTGCCCGCTGCCGTTACAACACCGATTCATCGTCGTTCATCAGCTCATCTGGGGGGAACTTTGACGAGACTTAATCCTGGGCCTGCAACGGAAGGCATCATGAATAGCAGGACGCAGATCAGTGAACGAGGTTACGACAGTACTGAGAGTGTTGGGCCTGAGCTGCAGTAAAACAAGAGAACTGTATACATTTTATTAGTTTATTAGCATCATTTTTTATATGTGAGCAGTAGTAATCTGGGTGTGAAAAGGTTGATTGTGAAGTAAGGAAGTGTAGAAAGCGATTTGTTGAAGAATCACGAGTCTCAGCTGATTGTTGGATCGCACATGGTTGTACTTTTGTAATTGTACGCGCAAGTCATAAAGACTAAGACTAAAGAACTTATGTCGGTAAGGCCGTCGCCATGCCGATCAAAAGAGAAAAAACTTCACCAGGTTACAGATTACGCAAAGGAAGTTTGATCAACAGAAAAGGTGTGATAGAAGGAGCGTTATAAGACTACTGGTTGATAAGAGCTAATTGGCTTGATTCCCTTCTCTTCTGTAAGTGCATGATCATCGCCAAAATCATTTCCAGAATCAAGTTGTGGACTTTGGTTTCATCAACAACGTACTAACGACAACACAGAATAGAATAAAATGTCAGATCCACGAGAAACCGGAAATGGACATGGTGCATTTCCTCCAAGTGAAGAATTCACAAAAGGAACAACATCAGAACCACAGACATCAACACCAAATCCTGACCAAACTACACCAACATCTAAACAAGTACCATATGACATACCGACCGCCTGGACGCTCCAAACTCACAGCGAGAAACACATCAGACATCTAGAAGAACGACTAGCTAAAACAACACCAAAGGACTTGACACCTGTCACGATCTTCGCAGAGTACCTAGATGGAGAAGAACCAACACACATAGAACAGCCGCCTACTAATGATGGTGACGATGAAGTGGAGCAACGAGCAGGATCAATCTCTAGCAGTGAATTGTCGTTTGTGAAATCGGACGACTCGAGAGCGTCGTTGCTGACGGACGAGTCTTATGATGACGATACCACGTATAGTGATAATGAAGAAGATGTTGAACGAGGAGTACCTGCTGTTGCAGCTGGTGCTGGTGGTAATTCAAGGAGTCGCCAGGCATCGGCTACGCGTCAAAAGATTGAACGACTGAGGGATTATAGTTCAAGATATTGTACGTGTTGTGTTATTTCGTAGTGCTCTCAATTTGTATCAAATTTGTATATACAAAATGGAAATCAATTCGTGAGCTTTTGTTAGATCGTGCACTTTTATTACTTTTCAAGACCTCAAAGAAGCTCAGTCGAACTAGCTCAACGATGGGTAAAAAGCCGGTAAGTCGCAATTCTACTATGTGAATATGTTGTGATCTGGGCGTAAACCTCTCGTCCCCGCCTCAAAAGCTATATTTTGACAGAAATCATTTCTTTTTTTCTCGCAGTTTATTGACAAGACAACAGCCCGACACTTCCAAGTAGTGCATCGTTCTCAGAGAGATCCAGCACTATCAGACGAAAGTGCATCACGATACGTCCTAAGAGAAGTTGCTCCTTCTAATAATCTCGTCAAGGCATGGGTTTGCTGAAATGTTGCAAAAAAAACCTACCTAACTGTTCGATGCCCTTTTTACACAGAAAGGAAGATACCAGCCCGACGAAGAGCTAGACGACGATCTTCACGATATTATAGAAGACGGCGACTTTGATTCCGACCAAGACGAGGACGAATGGGGTTCGGAAGCTGGTGCTGAAAATGTAAAAGACGATGCCAAAGAAGATCCCGTGCTTGACGATGATCAAGACGAGAACTGGGAAGATGTAGACGAAGAAGGCACGGACGAAGACCAAGAACAACCCGAAGAAGACGATGAAGCTTCTATAACCGAAAAACCAACGACCAACAACAAGGGCAAGCAATCTAAAAAGGAAGACGCGTCTCTCTACGGTATCTATTTTGATGATCAGGACTCGTATGATTACACACAGCATATGAAACCTATTGGTGAAGATCCTTCAGCTGTATATATCGACGCAAAACCAAATGCGAGAAATGAAGGTGCTTCAAACACCCCTTCTTCTGCTCCTACTGCTGTTAGTACGTCAAAGAAGGGTATTGCATTCATTGTAAGTTTGTCTTCACGAAGAATACTTTTCGCTCTTGATGATTTTTTTGTTTCTCATGCCATTATTGATTCGTAGGATGATGATGCAGCTAGTGCTATGGGCGAGGAACCCAGAAGGAAACGGCATGTAAATTTCGTTCTACCGGAAGAAGCATTGGCTTCAAGAGATGAAGAAGGTATTGGGTTATTGCATCGTGGTGTATCAGCGTCTGGTGAGTTGACTTTTCAAAAGTTTATTGGTCGCTTGCCCACAACCGGTTTTTTGACTCATCTTCTTTTCTCGCTACACAGGTCTACGACTGGATCTCGACCCAAATGTCCGTGAAGTTCTAGAAGCTCTGGAAGATGATACCTTTGTAGATGACGATGGAGAAGCAGCTGAAGATTTCTTTGCTGCATTGAATGCTGATGTTGTGCCTGAAGGCTTACAGCTTATTGAGGATGAGAATGATGATGAGGACGAAGATGATGACGAGCAGCCTGCTTGGGTTTCTGAATTCAAACGGTGTGTTAATTTGCACATGTGCAGTAACAAGCCCGCCTATCGGCTCTTTTTTGTTTTGCAAAGAGCATTGCTAATACACTCCAATCCCTCTCCTTTGAGCAGATTCAAGAAACAATCACGTCACGACAGTGAAGACGACGACGATGAAGACGACGAACCCGACCACAAAACCGCAACAACGTCCTTCTCAATGTCCTCCTCATCCATATACCGTAATCCAGGCAAAATCCTAATGGACGACCGCTTCGAGCACGTCCTCGAAGACTACTCTGACACCGAAATCGGTGAACTCGACTCTGAAAACCCGTCCGTCCGTGGCATCAAACTAGTCTCAGACACGCGCGTAAACCAAATTATGGATGATTTCCTTGACTCTGTTGAAACCCGTGGTCGTAAAAACATTTTAATCACGAAACGTGATGGACTGGCGCAAATGAATGAAATACGGAATGAGTTGAAGGGTGATGGCAGTGATCCTGTTCCGGACGTGTATGATATCATGGATGAAGAGGACGAGGAGGTTGAGATTAGTGATCGAGATGAGGAGGATGAAGGACGAGGGTGGGATGCAGAGACTATTCTGTCCACGTACTCGAATATATATCATCGGCCAAAGATTATAGATGATGACGAGGGGATTAGGATTGCGGTGTCGAGACATGGTGTTCGTGTGGTTACGAATAACAAGGGTACCACTATTAGTAGTAATGGGAGGCTGCAGATACCATCGTCTGCTGAACCGGTGCAAAAGCAGCAAGCTGCTGTGGCTGTTGAAGAGGATGATGAAGGATCTGAAGCTAGAGGTATGAGTCTATCATTATACTCTCTTTTTTCCGCTGAGGTTCCCTGTTTCCTTTACGCCCACAACCAACAAGCTCCATACCCTTTAGCAGAGAGAGTGAATCGAGGTCAAGCAAGACGTAAGGACGAAACTCCTGAAGAGAAACGAGCTAGAAAGGAAGCAGTCAAAGCTGAACGACGTGTAAGTACAAGATTAGCTGTGGCTTTTCTTTTGCATTTGCCTCACACCCACATCTTTTTCCACAGGATCGTCGTGAGACTAAGAAAGGATCCAAGCATGAATTCAAACACTTGGAAGAACAACACAACAAGAAACAACTACAGCGAGAACATGAAGCTCGTACTTTGCATATTGAATAAGTTACGTTGTGCTCAAATAGAACATTAGTTCCAACCAGCTTTTGCTTTTTTGTTGGTTTGGACAATCCATTAAGAGAGCCATGGCTCATACTTTGCATATTGAAAAAAGTTTTGCGCTCGAATAGGCCATCCCTCCCAACCACGCTTCTGCGTTTTTTTGTTGTTTCAAGAATTCATCAAAAAAACAATCAGCTCAGGCAACAAGTTGAGGGGGATGTAAAAAAACTCCATTGTTTGTATAGATTGAAAATTGCACTTTTTTAATGATTTTTTTCTTTACTCCTTCCCTCCAATGCTAATAATCTCTCTTTCCTCCGTTCCTTAAAAAACCCAAAAACAAAAAAAAAAAAGGAAAAATCCAACGTATTTGCTCACTATTTGCTATTCTTTTGGTGTGTTGTGCGTGTGTGATAACTGCTAATCATATCTCTCTCCTCTCCTCCTCGTAAATCCAACATCTCCCTCCTAGAAGATCAATGCTCTATTGCTACTGGAGATAGACTCACAGCTGAATCTGTTGCTCCATCTCGTAATCCATTCACCATCAATTTCATTGGAGCATCCATCATGTCGTGGTTGATATGGTTGCCATTAGGTAGTTCAGGAGCCTGTTCCTGTTGTTGTTGATGATGATGTACAAGACCGTTTGCTTCATTCACTGGCTTTACACCACCTGGTGTTGGATGGATGTACAAGCATTCAGAGCCATATTTGCAGTTGGGGAAGTATCTAAAAACAAACATATGGTTGAGAATGGGTTCATATTCTGTTTGAAACATAAAGAACAGCGAAAATAGAACGCTGCCAGCAACTCAATACATGCACTCACCGGCAAGTCTCGATAGCATGATAGAATGAACATCCCTTGCTTCGGTTTTGACAAGCATCTCCATAAATACATTTGATACGTTTAGGGCCTTTAGCGGGGACAGTACCCGGACCACTACCTCCTACACGATGACCATTCATACCTCTATGAGGAGAACGTTCACGTCGGTGTGGTTCGCCACCAGAGGATCCACGTCTTAGAGCTGCGTGACCATTCATATAACCATTAGCTTGATGTTGTTGTTGCGATGCTCGATTGCCATTTCCATAATGAGATTGTTGTTGATGACGAGTAGATTGTACTTCGACTTCACCTTCACTTCCAGCTGTACTAATAGAAGCAGCTGAAGGGTCAGAGAGTCCCATCTTGTTTATGCTATTATGATTACTATGACGATATCCATTTGACATTCCATTCATGGGTTTGCTACGACCACTACCACCACTGCGATTGTTGAGCTTCAAAGCTTCAATATCAGATTTACCAACAAAGTCTAATAGAGTATGTGCGACGGGTTCAGTGGATGGTCCATGACGACGAGGTGCACTTGTAGAGCTTGCTGTTGCTGCTGTTGTATTTGATGATGTCGGTATTGGTGATGTATTAGCACTTCTAACTGATCGAGCTGAGTGTGCTGGAGAGTTTGATGTATATCCATTGACTAGTAGTGGTGGTGTGTTTGGCCTTGAAGCAGAAGCTGGCACGGATCGTGGAATAATAGAGGCGGATATTGGTGTTGGTGCCAAGACTTTGGCAGCTCCCATAGCAGCTGCTTTAGCAAATTGCAATGGAGCCTGTAGTGGAGATGATGGAATCGAAGATGGTGTATTTGAGGCTGATGAGTTTGATGTGGTAACGTCACCGCTAGAGTCTGATGCTTCGGTAGTATCAGCTGTATCTTGATTGTTTTCAGATACACCATCAACTGGAGACGCAGCATGACCTACACGTGGACCCCATGTACTATCACGACTTGGTCTACGATCCTCGTATCCATTCTGCTTATTGGGTGATATTGAGCGGTTTCCATTATTATACCGCCTGCGTTCAGTGTTTCGTGGTCCATAGTATCGGTCTGATGGATAGTAACTAGGTTGGTATTGAGTTGTGTATGGCATATATGGCATATACATGGATGGCTGGTACACTAAAATGGCAAAAAAATTACGATTGTGAGTGATGATCAAAAGTTACAAAGGTTTCATCATGAACATATCGCATCCCTCCAAATCGAATCAATACTTACTTGGCACGGGCATCAAACCATCAGATGGAACAAACTCGCTGGCATAAATATTGTAAGCCAGAGGTACAAATTCTTCGGCAGTTGGTCGGAGGATAGCAGCTTGACCTTCCTCAGTAAGCCCGTCTTGCTGTTGGGTATCTTGACTGTCCTGGTTGAGTGGTATTTCACTACTGGTTTCCTCCATCTTGCTGACTTCTACATCATGCTTCACTTCTACATCTTTTTTATCTTCTACTACTGCAGGGACTTCCTTTTTATCTTCTACTTCGGGCACTTGTACACCACGAGCTTCGTCGACCTTTTCGACAGCAGGCTCTGCAGGGAGTACAACGACGTTGACTGACTCTTTTGTCTGTTCTGTAGCAGCATCTATGTCATGAACTTCTACGTTATCGACGATCTTCTTCTGGGCCATTTCCTCGGTACCAACAACAGTCTTTTCGTCATAGGTTGCCGAATCATCGGATTCTGCGACGGTCTTTTCATTTACAGGTACTTCTATGTCAACAGTTTTCGCATCAACTGCTACTACAGCTACGGGTTCATCATCCTTGTGGACTTCAGGCTCTTTGGGTTCAGCACCACCTCGTAATGACTGACTATCGGGCAATACATAATAATTCCGTTCTTCCATGGCAATATAATGAGCTCCCTCCGAAGTAGATGCTGTGGGTAATGCACCAACAGTCATGCCAGCCTTACTATTACTACTGCTGGTTGAGGCAACTGAAGCGGCTGGTTTGGCATCCTTCTTGATCTCTTTCGATACTGTTTGAGGTGCTGATTGTTTTGCCGGAGCACTAGTAGCAGCTGGAGTTATATTCGTACCTAAATAGTATGCTCGTTCATCCAATTCATATACATTAGAACCACCCAAAATAAAGGTTTGTGATGGCATAGTAGAAGTCTTTGTTGACTTGATATCTTTTTGAGGTACTGCTTTCGTCGTCGACGACGCTGCTGTTGCTGTTGGAGCTGCAACTGCCTTGACGGGTACTGACTTTACTATTGCAGCTGGTATAGCGACTGCTTTTGATGAGGTTGATGAGGCTGATACATCGGTTTCTAAATAATACGACCTTTCGTCAAGAAGGAAGACATTCGGACCACCCAAGATGAAGGTTTGAGCTGGCATTGTAGTGTAGTGCTTTTTGGCCGGAGTAGTGTCCTTCTTGGCAGGAGCAACATCATTCTTGAGAGCTTCTTTGGAAGCAACTTCCTTCTTGGGAGCAGCATCCTTTTTGGGAGCGTCTTTCTTCGCATCCTTGGTTGATTCGACCGCCTTTGTGGATGGCATGACCTAAAAGAGATGGGAATTACCTTATTAGCAAGTAGAAAATAGGGTCACCAACTAACGAGATGATCCTTCCGACAAGAAACACGTTCCCGTCTCGAGAGAAACCCTCATCTCATCATCATCAATCATTCATTAGGCGCCCAAAGATGTCAACCCCTTCACCAACCGGACACTTGTGCGACTATAAGGTGTAATTACCTCGTCGAGCCCACGGTAGAGGAATGAGACGGGCGAAGATGAGCAATGCTTTATATTATTCGTGCTATCTTCCACCATCACACTCTCCTTGACGCTCTTGGAGCTCCACGTTGATGGGAAACCCCACTCAAATGTTCTGGGAGCTGATGCATCTTTGGCCATAATAAACGACGATCTAGATGAAGAACCTACCAGAGTATCCGCACTAGCAGTTGTAGCCGGTGCAGAAGCAGAAGCTGATCCGGGAGTAGCGTTCAAGTATGCATAGTCTGTGTATGTTCGTTCATCGTATTCTACATTAGGGTGCACAGATGTTGCAACTAGAGATGATGCCGATACTTTTGATGCTGAGGATGGTTGTGATGATGTTGCTACGACTGCCTTCTTTGCTGATGATGAAGATGACGGTTGCGATGAAGTGACTGGTGTTGACTTGGTAACTTCCTTGACGGCTGTTGACTTGGCAAAAGCCTATGCAGCAAAGAGTGCATGTGGATCAGTGAATGGTTGCAATGGTGTACATACATGAGTAGAGTAGTCGGATGCAGAGCTAGGACAATAAGACTTACAGGTGCAGCAGACAGTGGAGCTTCCAAGTAGGTGTTCCTTTCGTCAAGAGTGATGGCTGAAGGGCCTTGCTTCATCCATGCTTCTATATTCATGTTTGATGCGATTGGGGTGACTATTGTTTGATTAGAGGTTGTGGTTGTTGTTGGTTGTGTTGCTTCTAATGACTTGATGTTTGAAGTTGATGTCGACTCGGGAGAAATTGCTTCTATCTGTCTAGTAGTAACCTGAGCAAATAGCATTTCATTAGTATCCAGATGCGCTTACTTGCTTCAAGTATACTCGGCTGCGCTGCTCAAAGTGCCAAATGCAAGTTGCAACAGAGTTGAGAAAAAAAAAACAGGTCGATGATGCACTGCAATCCACTAGTTAAACCAGCCTCCAAACTTACTTGCGGTGTAGAGGGAGTTCCAATGTCAGCAGGGACAGCAGCCTCTGACACGCTGCTACTCGAGTCTGCCTTGCTTTTGATTGTGCGTTGTTTGCTCTTTCGTCGTAAGGACAAGATTAAAGCTGCACCGGCGCTGAGCGCAAGAATACCAATTACTGCCCTAGTACCGAATGAGTTCACACTACTCGAGTTAAACACTTCCTTCAGCAATGACATTGACACATTTGACGACTACTTGGCCAAATGCTTGTCGTGGTTTTTTTTGCTCAAAAGGCAGAACTCGAGAAAAAAAGTCCGGAAAAGTTCACTCCTCCGCGAGACAGTCAAATTAGTCAAATAGTCTAGCAAAGCTCACTGGTACCTTCTGATCCTTTCGAAAGTTTCGTGACGACAACGTTTTTCCACGAAACTTTCGCACACTTTAGAACACCCCTTTCAAGACGGTCACTGGTGGTACTGGTGGTAAGTTCACGTGATTTGCCAAATTTAATGAATTTTACGCGTCGTTCGAGTGTCCAAAGTGTCAGATTCAACCAAAACTTCCAAACTTTGGCTTTTGGCAGTGTAAGAATGCCGTCAGTGACAGCAGCAACAGGCCATCCCGTCAAAGAGCGATTTCACACAATCAAGGGACTCGAAATCTACATGGAACTGTCGTATTTCGCGTCTCCTGGCCGTGGTTCCTCGCGATGAGGCGTCCAAACATCGTTTTATCCCTCAAACTCTCATGAGAAATACAGGGCCATAGTTCGAGCTGAAAGAAGGCATCTATCAAAGTGGGCATGGCATCCCATATTCAGGAGCCTGGACTCCAAGGATCAGACATATTCAATCCTCAACGAACAGGACAGGGGTATTTTTTCATGCTTTCTAGCACGCTTCAAATTAAAGAATATGATCCATTGCCATCTTTACTAACTAAATAAAAAGAAAATTGTTCATAGGTGGCTTGAACTGGAATACAAATGAATGTATGTTCCTCTCTGATTTTATTCGTTTGGAAGGTGTTGAGGAAGGGGCAGTGTTGAGAGACACAGTTTTCCAACCTTAAAAACGAGCGATGCAACAATGCACGACTTCCATCCATCATTTCAATGATTGGAATTCATGGATGAGCTCTGTTTGTTGATGGTTTGGCATGGGGAGGAGTCGCACTTCAGATGTGACTCCTCATTTGATGCCCAGCAGACGTACCAATAGCATCTTCCCCAAATTACAATAGATTCTCTCAAGGAATACTTTTCAAGATACGGAATTGTTGATGATGCTGTAATTCTCAAAGGTATTCTTGCTGTTAGCGAAACGTTCGCAACTATGCTGACCGGTTGTATTATATACCCCTAGATCCTATGACTGGTCGCAGTCGCGGATTTGGATTTATAGTATATCGTGATCCGCAAGTAGCTTCGACCGTCCTTCAAAGCCACCATTATTTGGATGGCAAGGCTGTAAGATGCATGAATGTAATCAAGCCTAGTTCACGAACCACTTGTTTTGACGATGACTTCTCTCATCTTAGATCGACGCAAAGAGAGCTGTACCTCGAAGCGAGCAAGACAGAACTGAGAAGCTGTTTGTCGCTGGCATTCCACCTGAAGCGACTGAACAGGATGTTACTTCTGCTTTCTGTGTATACGGAACGGTCTTAAATACTACTATAATGAGCGATCGTAATACTGGCAAACCAAGAGGCTTTGGTTTTGTCACATTCGAAACCACTCGTGGCATAGAACAAGCGTTGCAAGCTATCCCGCCAATGACCCTCCATGGCAAAGTTCTCGAAGTGAAGAGAGCAATGCCAAAGAGTGGACGTGTTCGTGCACCAGATTATGCTATGAGCACACTTTTAGGTGGTGATGGTGGTGGAAGCAGTAGCTCAACCACCACTATAAACCAACCACCTACTCAAATGGATGCTAGTACAGCTAGAATAGTGAAGCCGCCTGCTGGACGACCAAGGATCCGCACCAACGTCCCAAATCAACAATTCCGACGAACATCCATCACACCACCACCATCAGATCAGTACCCAATGCCAACTCATCAGTATCCGCAGCCTATAATGTCACACATGGCGGGGCAACAAGGCTATTTACCCATGTATGCCTTCCATCAATACGGCCAAAGCATGGCAATGCCACCAACTTTAATGACGCAACTACCTATGCTTGCCCATACACCCAGTCCCGATGAAGAATCATCTCGCACGTCACCCACCACAATGTCGGAAGGATCCATGACAGGTACGGGGAGAGGTTTCCTTCTTATTCTTCAAATCAATCTTCTGAAAGTCTTGCCTCATGTTAGGTCTTCCTGCTGCTGTGAGTGTCGAGCAGTTTGAAACTACTCATCAACAACAGCAGTACGAACTGCAGCACATGCACCGACAAATGATTCAGCCAGAATGGCAGCAATTGCAGCCCTGGCATGTAGCACAAGTAAATAACCAACAGCAACAGCAACCTATAGTATACCACCAGCAACGACCGATTATACTTCATCAGCAACCAGCTTACCATTTTCCACAATTGGAAATGCGTCAGCCAATGGAATTTTATGGCTCTGCTAATGTAATATACCAGCCAACAACAGCCCAACCACCACATTTGCAACAACAACTAATACAACCTAGTCCAGCTGGTACTATATTGTATGCGACCCAAGGAGGGCACTGGATTGTACCATACCAGCAGCATGGATACCAGTCAGAGACAAAGCCGCACGATTTACCTTCTTTTGAACGTGAGATGTGAGAATTTCGAAGAGAATGATTGTGAGAGTGATTGATGTTACGAGAGAAGATTGAAAAGCGTTGAGGTTGGAAGTAGTGTAATTTGTTGAGGACAGAATATTGATATTGTTTTTTACACTCTTGAAGTGTACATAGTAGTGGTTGGAGGAGTTTGAAAAGGTTGTAAAAAGAAGTGGAGGTGGCTCGAGATTTTGTTGGAAGATGGAGATCGTAAAACGTGAAAAGGGGAGAGACCTGAATGGTCATAATGGGTAGATATGGAATGGGTCCCCCTTGATATGTACAGAAAAAAAAATTGAAGCCCCGATTGATTGCGCACACAATGTAAAGAAATTGCAAAACCAAAATATAACGACTCTCATCAAAACGGAAATGTGCTGTCCCCGTCTGTTTCTTACCGGTTCACGTATCGCGTTTCCACTTTTGATCTCAATTCCAGGTCTCAATTCTTCTAGTGGCTGTGTCGCTGTTGGTTTCTCCCCTTTAACTCATCAACCTTTAGCTCAACATATCAACAACACTAAATAATGGTTTCAAGCTTACTAGCCACCGTCATCTGCCTGATTTCGCTGCTCTATTTAACAAATGCCGCCACAGTTACTATAAACGTAGGAACGTTTTTCATGACTGCCGCACAACCGACATGCGAAGTGGTATGTGAAGTTTGAATTTCAGACGGCTACAATGCAAGTACTAATTCTGGTTTTTATAGGGAGATGTACTAGTGAGTTATCCACTTCCTTTTCTTCTTTGCGTTGCAATGATTTGGACCACCAAACATCTCAGCGTCGCTGATTTTCACCACCCGCCATAGAGTTTCACCTTTGCCACTGGTCCACATTCAGCAGTCCAGGGTGCTTCTACTGCTTGCTCAGCTAATGGAGGGTTCAATTCGGGACAAATGTCGAGTGGAACGTTTAACTATACCGTTAAGTCCTCAGACTCTGGACAAACCATATTCTATTTTTGTGATGTAAGTTGCCGTTTAGTTTCCGCAAGTTATTTTAAAAGCTCAAATCTCAAATACACGAACGAAAGGTTGGATCTCATTGCTCTGGAAGTGGCATGAAGGTTTGTTGCACAAGTTTGGATCGACAAAATGCAACATGACGCTTATCAAAACTATGTTTTGCATAGGGATCTATTCTAGTTAACGGTCCCGCTGCAAGCGCTGCACCAACTCCGTCAGCTGCTGCTGCTTCTCCCTCACCAGCTGGAGGGTCTGCAAAATCCGCTGCTTGTACCTTGCATCCAACTATGTACACATTTATAGCATTTTCGGCCTTTTACGTTGTACTTGTAAAAGTTATGAACATTTAGTCTGGTATTTTCAATTGCAAAATATATATCATTGGTAGCTTAAAAAACCTCAGTCCAAAATGTGGGTCAAAAACATTTCGAAAATTTGAGTTGGATGGAAATGTGTTTTGTGGGTTCAAACGTTACCGATCGCTCTCGAATTTCGTTTCGCATGAAACCAATACACTGTCACTTAACAAGATGTATCACTTCTAGCTTCGACATCGCAGTGAGAAACTCTCAATCTACATTTGCTGCAAGAACGCTGTGAAAGTTGCTTCTAGGATGGAAACTGTCAGGATGGTACTAAACAGCGTTAATGACAGACCTTTTACGTGATTTCATACGGACGACGAGCAGGTGGTTTTGTCAAAATTGCTTTTCGTTGGTACTTGGCCTCTTCCTTCAACCAAGCGTTTCTGACTCCTCCTGAACTTTCGCCGCGACTTTGCACTTCAACACTCCCACCCTTTTACTCTAACGTAAACCAAAGTCAAACGTCTTTATATAGCATTAAGAATCGATTTCAAGATGTTTGAAGACTTCAAACGTACGTATACTGCTAGATCTGCCCTTAGTGGCCAGTTAGTCACAAAACTTTAATATGATCTATCCGTATAAACCGTATTCTAGTCGGCCAGTCAGGTCAACAGTGGGCCACAATATACATAACAGCTTGCCAATCTCTCGGCGAGAAGCATTTCTTTCTCAGAACGATTGAAGAAGCCATCAAATTGCTAAATGAGCGACGTGAACTAAAAGAAGTGGTAAGGTTTCTCAACATTTGGACCAACGTTGGTGGTGGACATGAAGCTTCCCTGGAGACGGAAGCCGTTGGAATGTTTCCATTGACTTCCAACGGGCTGGATCTCGTGATCGTTCCAATGCCACCTGTTACATTTTTTTGTTTCTCCACGTCTGATCTTTTTCTGATCCTTTCGGATGTATACAGAATCCATTCTACTCGGAACATTTCAAAGCTATCTATACTGAATTGAACAAGGACCAATGGAAATGGGAATGGACAAATTCCAAAGCAAGGATTTGTTTGCTTGGCGTTGTGGGTGAGCTCTTTGAGTTCATCTATGACTTGAACTCATGGGTACCTGATGAGCTTGAGTAAGTTTGAAGACACTCAGTGTTTCGTTGATGCTTGGTTATCCATTCTAAACTTTTTCCTATGTCAGCTCTCTATTGAAATTGGAATCCCGTGTCTCGTTTTACAGAGGCATCATGTCGGCAAACTTTCCTAGTGCCAAGGTCAAACGTTCAGATCTTGAAATCATTAACTTGTGAGAATCTGATTGGTAGCTCCGCCTCTTTTTCTCGGTTCACTCACACTGTATCGTGCTTCCTTTAGTGTCATCAACCAAATCGACAGCCTCAGACGTGAAGTCCAAAAGAAATGTGACAATATCGCCGTCTCTCGAGCTGTCGAGGAATTGGAACAGAACCTGATCAACCTGTCCGGAGAAACTCTATACGAAGCAACATGGACATTCAAGGCCAGAGAAGACGCCAGATCCGAAGACGAGCAATTGTCAGAGTCAGCTGGTGGTGCTGCTTGTCTATTGATGAAGGTCTTGAAGGATAAGATGAATCCTGATAAAGCTATGGTATCTCCTGCTGTATATGCTGAGGTTGCGAAAATCTGTAATGGTGGTATCCCGTCTCTCGGAGTTCCTGCTAATGATGAGATGTATGTATACTGTGAAGAACCGGCTGTGGTTGAGAAGAGAATTTGATGCTGTTTTTTTCCTTGGGCACACTTTAGATATGTAGGCAGTGCTATTGAATCCGCTCTAGTGCCAAAGAGTATTCAGGCAATTCAAGAGTGGTTTGCGCTGAAAACAAAGCATAACAAGTCCTTCTTCCGTAAAGTCAAGAAGAATATCGATTTGGAGCGACTTTTTGGATCGCAGTTCTCTGGTCTCTTGTATCCTATTGTATGTAACGGCATTCACCTGTCATGTTTTTTTCCGCAACAGACCGACACTTAACACTTTCGGAAAACAATTAGGTTACTAGAACCTCTGATCAAAACATTCCGAAGATCTTGGTCTCTCTCGTCTTCAACAGCTTTATGCAAATTCAATGGGCCAGAATCATGGGCATCCTATTACGTATCATATATAACGGTGGTGAAATTTTACTGGCTCCAGTAGCAGAAGGACAGGACAGTGGATTTGCTACAGTCTTGCACCGAGCCCTTGGAGTCTTACTATCCTATCTCCAGGCTTACGAACGACAGTATGGCCAACTCGCTGGATTGTTGGGTGGCATCCAAACTAAAGCCGGATATAGTAGTGCACCAGGATACCTAAGATCAAACAAGGTTTGGGTAGACTCACTGAACAAGAAATTGTTTGATATGATCAAGACTGCCCAGGTCCTCAAAGTCGCCAAGACTCATGTCGCACGAATCCAACAGAATATGACGTTGAAATCTGATAGAGTTGTTGGTGATATTGCAGACGATCTAGTAAAGCTCAAGCAAGCGTGTGATTGGCATGATAGTGTTATTGGTACCACACCGTTCTTATACGGTGAACCAGTTACGAAGATCGCTATTGTAAGCCATTACTCTTTACCTTTTATATTTTGTGTTGGCTTGGCATCGTCAATCGTTCGTTAACACCTTCTTCGTCACCTACAAAATAGACTGATCAAGACTTGGATACAATCCGCAACCAATTCCAACAGATTAAGTCTAGATCTGGTATCAACATGCCAGAGCTCAACTCAGGAGCCTCGTCTAGTAACACCACCCCTCAACAATATAACAATATGCCAGCAGGACCATACAGTAACAACAGCGACAACAACAACACAGATCAGGCAATGTCTAGTATGCCAGGTCTCGCCGCCGCTGGCTTGTATAGTGGTAACCACAACAACACCAACGCAAATCAAACAAACAACGGTGTGCCTAGCTCGGTAGGCTCGTATGGTAGCAATGTCAATCTACCAAACACTGGTATGGATAGCGCCTACGGCTCCTCTAGTAACATTCCAGCTCAAGGAAGCGGTATGGCACCTTCGTCTAGTAACAACAACAACCACACAAATGCAGCTTTAGCAGCAGGTGCTGGCGGTGCAGCCCTAGGTGCCGCAGCTTTGTACAGTAATAGCAACAACAATGCCAATCAAGGAGGCAACGGTGCCCAGTATGGTAACAACGCACCTCAGGGCAACGCCAATACTGGTTCCATGGGCTCATATGGCAGTAACAACGCATCTCAGTCAAACCCTGGTATGCCACCTCAGAACTCTCCAGCATCGTCTGGTAACAACAACACAAATGAATCACACACTCTCTCGAACATCCCAGCTTTTGCCTCGCTTACCTCATTGTTTCACAAGAAGCATCCGGAAGCCAACGATACACCATCTGCTAGCTCGAACAACAACACACAGCAGGGAAACGCCAATGTGCCACTCGCTAGTTCCATCGGCTCGTATGGGAATACCACAACGGCTCAGTCAAACAATGGCATGACACCTGCTAGCTCTGGTACTTTGTATGGTAGCAACAACGCAACTCAAGGAAGCACAAATTCAGGCTTGTACGGCAGCAGCACACCTCAAACCAATACTGGTGTGATGCCTCATGGTTCGTCTAATAACAACTATACAAATGCAGCACTGGCAGCAGGCGCTGGTGGCGCAGCTCTCGGTGCCGCAGCTTTGTATAGTAATAGC